GTCGGCGTCGGCTGTGGGCGGAGCGTCGTCGTCGGTGGGCGGAGTTGTGCCGGTGTCGGCGGTGGGCGGAGTTGCGCCGGCGGTGGGTGGAGTTTCCCTCACTGTATCACTCTCCCCTCTCAGCCTCTTTCTCCCCGTTATCTTTGGCATCCAAAAAGCTGCCACTCCCCAAAACATCCCTCCATATGGCAGCTCCTGCCAGCCCCTCGACTCACCCGCTCTTTCAGCCACTCAGTCTGCTTCACTGACTTACGGGACCCAGAGCAATGTGGTTTTTCTTTCAACATGAGGCAATGGACATGAGTGAAGCAACTGTGGCAATACAAGCCACTACTGCTGAAGTAGGAAACAGACCTGAAAACAGAACGTTTGAGGAAGTGTTTCCAGCTCATGGGTTGAGGATGACTTTATTGAAGCAGGAATGGTCTTATTTATTCGAGTTAGATTCACAGGAAGAATCCAACAACTCCAATCTAATAACAGTGGCCTGGGATGCAGATGTCTGACACAATTTTAGACATTGAAGGAGAGGAATCCACTGTGTTTACGAATGGAATTGATTTGTTTGTTTCAAGTGAAAGTTTGAACACAGACACTAGGCCCAAAACGTCAGCTTTCCTGCTCCTCTGATGCTGCTTGGCCTGCTGTGTTCATCCAGCTCTACACCTTGTTATCTCAGATTCTCCAGCATTTGCAGTTCCTACTATCTCTGAATGTTTTCATCCTAGATTAATGTTATTTTTATTTGCAGTAAGAGATTGGTGCTCAGATCAAATGGAATTTCTTGTTCCTGAGATATGCATTTTGTTGAGAAAATAGCGCAAGAGTCCAACAGAGACAAATTATTAACTGGAAAATTTGAAAACCTTCTTTTCTGCTGCCTTTTTTAAAGTCTTTCATGGCCACTCTGGCTGGTCCAGTAGTTATTGCCCATCCTTTGACCAACATAGCTAGAAAGAATAGGTTAGCCCTACACTGGGCACCTTTAAAGGGGTTGGCATGGTGTCTAGTGATTAGCGCTGCTGCCTCACAGCACCAGGGAACCTGGCTTAATTCCACCCTCGGGCGACTATGTGTATGGAGTTTGCACATTCTCCCTGTGTCTGCGTGGCTTTCCCCTGGGTGCTCCAGTTTCCTCCCACAGTCCAAAGATGTGCAGGTTAGGTGGATTGGCCATGCTAAATTTTGTGTTGTACCAAGAGATGTGTAAGTTAGGTGGATTAGCCATGGGAAATGCAGGGTTACAGGGATAGAGTAGGCCTGCTCTTCAGAGGGTCAGTGTGGACACTGCTTCCACACTGTAAGGATTCTATTATTAATTTCTCAGAGGGTAGTTAAGAGTCAAGAACATTGCTGTGGGTCTGCACTCAAATGTAGGCCCAACCACATAAAGATAGCAGATTTCCTTCCCTAAAAGGCATTAGTGCACCAGATAGCTTTTTATGAGAGTTGGCAATGTCAGCGTTGTTGTCGTTAGGCTAGATATCTATTCTTTTACTTACATTTAAATTTCTCACCATCTGCCATGATGGGATTCAACCCCATGTCCCCAGAACTTTAGCCTGGATTATAAATCTAATGACATTAGCACTACACGGTCACCTTCATTATTTACAGTGTATCTGTGTCTAAAATATAAATTGCTACACAAGCAATGGATGAATAATCACTAATAAGTCAACTTTTTTTAGAAGTCTCAGTTCTACATAGTGGGGTTGAAATGTAAGAGAGGAAGGAGAGAATGCGCAAGATTGAAACTTCAGCCACATTCGCCATGTTGTAAGATCGATGGTAAAATTAGGACCACAGCCGATGCATAATCCAAAATGTAAAAAAATGTAGAATTCATTGAATCACTGCCCAGTGTGGAAGCAGGCCATTTAGTCGATCGAGTCCACACCGACCCACTGAACAGCAGCCCACCCAGACCCACCCATCTATCCTACCCCTGTAACCCTGCATTTCCCTTGCCTAATCCAACTAACCTGCATTTCCCTGGACACTATGGGCATTTAGCATGGCCAATCCACATAACCCACACATCTTTTGACTGTGGGCAGAAACTGTAGCACCCAGAGGAAACCCATGCAAACACAAGGAGAACTCTACACACTCAGTTGCCTGAGGGTGAAATTGAACCTGGGTCCTTGGTGCTGTGAGGCAGTTATGAATTGGTTAAAAATTTAAGAGAAAGACAATAAAAAATTGTGTACGGCCTCTGGAAAAGGGATGAGTAAACATGAATCTTGTCTTATATTTCCTATGTGTCATGCACCTTGTGAAAGAATGCATTTCCGAAATGATGTTTTATGTCTTTTAAGGGTGGGAGATATGGAAGTATTCTTTATATTTTTAGACTGTGGACTGAAAATGAGGAAATTGCTTTTGAAAGGGGATAAATGTGCAAGTGTTTGTTTGCAACTTGGAAAAGCAAGTGAAGCTAACTGTTGCAGATGCGACAATGTTACTTTTCGGGATTAAGGCATCTGCAGAGAGAGCAAAACAGAGTTTCTGATGGAACAGACTAGACTCAAAACATTAACTCAGTTTCTCTCTCCGCACATGCTGCCAGACATGTTCAGCTTCTCCAGCATTCTCTGTTTGTTGTTGCTTCAGGACATTTACACCACCGCTAATGCGCTGGAGACGAAATTCCCCGAGGTCTTATTCATTGTGGCCAGCGACTTCAACCAGGCCAACCTCAAGAGGTTGCTACCAAAGTACCACCAACACGTCTCCTGCCAACGTCCTGGACCACTGCTACACATCCATTAAAGACACCTACCGCTCCATCCCCCATCCACACTTCAGAAAATCAGATCACAACATTGTGTTCCTCCTCCCAGCTCACAGGCAGAAGCTGAACCGAGAGGATCCTTCACAGAAAGTGGTACAATGCTGGTCCGAGGCAGAGGAACAGCGTCTCCAAGTCTGCTTGGAATCAATGGACTGGACTGTATTCCACTTCTCAGCAGAAAATCTAGAAAAGCACGACACCACTTTGACAGATTTCATTAGCAAATGTGCAGAGGACTGTGAACCAAAGAAGTCAATCCGAGTGTTCCCCTACTAGAAACCATGGATGAACTGGGAAATCTATTGCCAACTGACGACCAGGCAAGCAGCATTCAGGTCGGACGACCCAAATCTATACAGAAAATCCACATGTGACCTCCGTAATGCCATCAGAGATGCCAAGAGGTAGTACCAGACCAAGTTAGAGGCTCAAACCAATCACACGGACACCTGCTACCTGTGACAAGGCCTAAACAATATAACCGGATACAAAATGAAGCAGAATGAGATAGCGGACAAAGACGCATGCCTCGCTGGTGCACTCAGTGCTTTCTATGCTCAGTTCGAGCAGGATGCCAGCATTGTGGTGATGCCCGCCCCGACAACCCCAGGATGCACCCGTTCCGTCCATCAACGCTGTAGACATCAGATCGGTCTTCCTGAGTGTCAACCCATGGAAAGCGATGGGCCCAAATGGAGTCCCCGGCTGGGTGCTTAGATTGTGTGTGGACCAGCTGGCGGAGGTATTCACTGACATTTTCAACCTCTCTCTCCTACAAGCTGAAGTCCCCACCTGCTTCAAGAAAACGACCATCATCCCTGTACCTAAGAAAACACCTGCAACGTGCCTTAATGACTACTGCCCATTGGTTCTGACCTCCATAATC